GCTGACCAGACATCATCGAATGAAGCATGATACTGAACAAATTTTAGTATATGTACATATGTATGTCCATATCGTCAACTGATATGCAAAGGCCTTAACAAAAAAAAGATCCAAAATTTTCTAATTAATTGATTATGATACATTTCATCGAATTACAAGGCCCCACATCGTTTTATACAAAAATAAAATTTTGTTGGTTACGTCTTTTTGCGTTTCAGGTGACGATATGGTTAGGAAAGCAACAAACAATTTTTTGGTTAAGACAGTCTATGTACGTATGTATTTGCGTAGATATGAAATTTGTTTGTGCGGTGGTATGACGGAATGCCAGTTACACAACAGTTACCTTTTTGGCTTTTTTCCGTTTAGATATGTAAATATACAAAAGTACGAACGCGCATACATACATACATATATACACATATATCTTAAGAAAATACCTGTTTTCTTGTCCCAATCACCAAAAGTTAGACGGACCGGACCGTCTGCCGGTGACAAAACAATAAACTGATGGATTGTCTGCATCGTGATTTATTTAATTTTTATTGTTTTCGTTTGTTAGTCTCGCACCCTTTTACCGTTCCCTACATTTCTGATGGCACGTGACTTGAATGAGATGAGATGAGAGCTGACTAGCTTTTGGCGCTGAGTTTTGAATGAATTTTACAGAGCCAGTTTTCAGCGTTTACGGAGCAAGTTTAACGCTACACCTTATTTTTGCCTTTTACAGCAATATTTCGTATAAGTGGTCAGCGTACTAGGAATGTTAATTTTTCCGATTTTTACGAGAATAAAAATATGGGTATCAAATAAAAGAGGGAATTTCTTTAGAAGTTAAAAAATTTAATTTTTTTGGATTCACAATGATGAAAAGGTAATTTTTTTATTGAAAGACGAAGTTCGAGGATGTTATCGAGCTTATATAAGTCCTTAACGTATAATTTTTTCAAAAGCGAATATTGCGAAAATTCAAGGATCAAATTTTAGAAGGATATTTTCAATACTTACTAGTCCTTATGTACGAAAAAAATTGAATCTGGTTAAATTCTACAGAATTTTCTCTTTAATTCGATACCCACACTTACGGTGATCATTCGTACCGATTTTGGCGGGACAGTACGCTTTGACGGGTGGGTAACGTTCAGAGAGAATACCCCATATATAAAATTAAAACCTTTGTAAAACTTAACAAAATAAATGTTTTGGGTGAATAATTCTGGCCGTAAGCCATGGTATAAGAATTTTACTTACCAAGAGAAATCCCGAACTCTTTAAATGCTTTTACGAAGTTTGATCCGTTGTCCGTTATCGTATAAACAATTTTTCTGGCTAGTATGCTAAACTGCCTGTTTATATTGTTAATAAGTTCAGTTATCCGGTCGAAAGAATGAGTCCCTTTAAACCTCCAACAAGCTAACTTTCTCGAGAAGTTTTCGGTGTCTAGCCAATGGCATGTCATCCCGAAAAGTAACCTGTTTCCACCTGACCAAATATCCGCTGTTGTACAGACATACTCCACTTTTGTTAGGGCACCCGATAAACTTCTTATGAAATCCGCGTAGCTGTCGGCTAATAACCTAGTTATTGAACGCCTGCTGGAGGCATTTTCTCCCGAAAATAATTTTAAAAAGCTCAATGATGGACAACGTTTAGCATGTGTCCGAAATGAAGTTTAGCACGTTGCGACTGAAAGAGGAGCCTCGTCCAACGTTTTTTTATATTTTCATTTTTCTTTTCCTTAACTTCCTCGAAAGTTTTTGGATGATGTTTCCGCAGATGGTTTACGTAATTTGAGTTAACTCGCAAAGAAAGAATTTTGCAAACGGCAATTATTCCCAACATTCTCTTTTCATAAGAAGTTTTTGATCGATAATAATAGTAAGTATTTTATATGCATTCAATTTGGAATTTACGATTTATTTAAAGCAGGGTCGGATCCAGAAAAAAATGTTTTCAGAAAAAGTATGCTTTGTATATTACATGATAAGAAAACGATTAAGAACAAGTAAAAAAGTCTAAGTTCGGGAGGAGCCGAACATTAGATAGAAAGTTCAGTTAGACATAATGAGATAAACTAGGAATTAAATGACACAAATTTTAATGACAAAGTTGGACATTAAACAATATTCGTGTCACTATGTAAAAAAATAGTCGTTAAATTCATTTCCACATGGCATTTTTTAAATTCCTCCAATTTTTTGTAAAACCCAAAACTTGATTGAAAATAAAATCTATGATAATTGCATTGGAAAATGTATTTATGTTAATAGAGGCTTTGAAGTATTAAAAACATGCTGTGAAATATTATTAGAGTTATTATTCCAAATAAAATAGATAGCTAAAGTTTTAATATTACAACATTGGTATTACTATTATTACTTACATACATATCGTCGTTTAAAGTGCAAAACCGCGTAACTGACATTTGCTGTCAAAAATTGGATTTGCACACACAAGCTCGTGGCTCAATTCTTATCCATTCATCCTGAAATATACTTGCCAGAAATGCGATTGCGTTATAAAAAAAAAGAGAACCATTTTGAAATATGAGTGTTTTTACTATCTAGAAAATATTATATGCAACCTCACATATGTACGTAGGTTTACATTATCTTGTTACGTGGTTTGGCATTTTGGGGTTTGTACTTCAAACGACGATATATTATTTATTGGAGATATTTTAATTTAAATAAAAACACCTGCTATGCCAAAAAGTTATTATTACATTTCATTACATAACACCCAAGCTATACAACTGTCCTTCAGTATTCTCCTATAGTAAAATTAGAGCAGAAATAAAATACATCTTTACATAAGTTTTTGTTTCATATTAGTATAAAGACGTGGGTTGAAACCCGCGGATAAAAACTAGTTTTTAATAAAAATGATTAGGTTTATATAATAAGGGCCATTTGCTCAAAGCCTGGTTGACACTAATCCTACTCTCCGGTTACAATCATTATCGACGTTTTCGACTCCATGCATATAACACGGTGTCGGTAACGTCGATGACCATGTTTAACCTGAGATTAGTGTCTACCAGGCTTTAAGCACATGGCCCTAAATATATAAGGGCCATTTTCTCGACTGCCTGTTAAATTTATCTTGCCGTTAAAAATTGTTATTGACGTTATCGACTGCATGGGAGCGACACATTTGACGCGCAATCAAAGCACAGGCAGTCAAGAAAACGGCCTAACTCTGTACAAAGAGTAAACTAAAGTAAAACATAGTCATAAATAATTTACTTAATTTTAAATACTAATGATTTTAGGCGTCTTGAAAAAGTGAACTGATTAAGGGCCAGTTTTTCAATGTCTGGTTAACACTAACTACAGGTTAAACATCTTTATCGACGTTATCGGTTCCCTGTTATATGTTATGGAGTCGATAACGTTGATAACGATGTTTAACCAGACATTGTGAAACCAGCCCTAATTTCATTAAAAAATTGGGTACGTAAACTAATTGCGTATTAACTTTTAGTATTTGGTTTGTATACCATTTGACTTTAGCAGCTCATTCATTTTTCTAGGCATTCATTACACACGATATTCTCCTATATCGAAAGGGATTTGGCCCCATATTTCAATTAGCTCCCTTTTATTCCTTGTTGGAAATGGGCTTCTACCTTATTTTTCGGCCAAGGCCACAGATGCTCCATAGGTGGGTGTTCACGAGTCCTAGCTGTTCAGTGCAAAAACCGTTCTTTAAAAATGTTGGACCTATGCTTGGGATCATTGTTTTGTTGATAGATCCTGTTTCTAGACACAATTTTTCCTCAAAATTTTTAAATAATCTATTTTATTCATTGTACATAGACTCAATGAAGACTCGATTACCGACTAAAGATGCAGCCATATAAACTCAGCCCATAATCGAGCCCCCGCCGTGTTTGATGGTGATTGTACAAACTTTTCGAGAAACTCTTCATTTTTTGCTCGCAATATTTTTAGAAGCTTTTTTATTCAAAATATTAGAAATTTACTCTCGTCGGTAAATAAGATGTTTTTCTAGAAGCCTGCGCATAGACTCATTTTGATACTTTTTTTCAAATTCCATATGCTTGATTCCCTGTAGAAGTTCAGGACTTGAATTTTATGTTGTTAAATGTTGATTACATTAGTAATTACTATTGAACCCGTATAGCGTCAAAACGCTAACATTGAATTTTAATTTATAAACAGATGCCAACCACGGTTGCCATTTCCAAATTATTTTTAGGACCAAAAAATTGACCAAATGGTAAAGAATTGACCAATTTTTATTACACGGGAAAACTGAGTGGAGTTTATTCCTCTTTATCGAGAAAATATGCCAATTTGGTACACATTGATCGAGCGGTTACCGAGATATACATATGAGGTTATAAGTGGGCGGGGTCACGCCCATTTTCCAACCTTTATTATAAGCCTATTGTTTGCTAATTTGGGATGTGGGCGTGGTTATTATCCGATTTTTTTAATTCTAATCCGTTTGGTATGTTTTGTGAAGACCAACAACTGTGCCAAGTTTGGGAGAAATAGGTGGAGCGGTTCCCAAGATATACACATTTTCCAGAAAGTTTCATTGCGAAGTCTCATTCATTCGAGTTTTGAGTGCTACTCCATACAAGGGGAACCACCATGTAATGTAACCAAGAGTACGGGAGCAGAGAGAGTTGAAATAGTGGACGAGGTGGCCAAGTGTTTAGTGATGCGCACTTCCACTGTACAGGGCCCAGGTTCGATTATACCTTTGCCAAGAAAAGGCTTTTAAAAAGCATTTGCCGTTCGTAGGCATCTGAAACTTTAGGTCACTCTATTTGTGCTTTAACAACAAGACCCACGCCACAATTTGGAAAAGAAACGCGACCATGCACTTAGCAAAATATTTATGTGCGTATTTCATAAATATATGTATCTACATAAATGCGATTACAAACTACATATGTATCCTGCATTTACATGCATACTTATACCAAATAATTTTTCCTTATTCTTGAATCATTTAACTCACAGTTACCTCATCAAACATCTCGTTCACAAATGGGGTTATGAGGCCAAAAACTTGCTCATCGATGAGTCTTGGGATGAATTCACGGCACTGACGTGGCACGAAACGCCCGTCTTCTACGATCCAGCTTTTATCTTCTCAAGTCATCGACCGTATAATGGCGGCGGCAATGCAGGACTTGGTAGCGGTGACGACTTTAATGGATACAAGTACGGTACTCCAGGTGGTAGTAGTGCGAATAGTGGGCGAAATACTGGCAGAGTCGGAGCGGGTGCTTCCAGCAATACGGAAAATACATTCATCATAACAAAATCCCAAACTACAGAAACTCCTACGTAAGTTTGATTAAAATCTCGAAGGTTTTGAGAGGACTGTTGAAGGGATCTGCAGTGGAATTCTGACAATCGCTACGCTAATATTCGTCGCTAAAATTCTCTAAATGAAAAGCAGTAGGTCCTAAAAGTATACAACATGGAAGGGTAACACATGCGACACGTCGTCAGCCAAATCTGGCAGTGTGGCGCGCATGCAACTAGATGTTGCTCGTTGTTAGGGGCGCCTGCTATTATTTTGGAGATTTTTACCGATCAAAATTAGCGATAGTCAATAATGGAACCGGGCTGCTGGTATCCCATTCCCTAATTCTAAATTCGACTATGATTTCCATATAGATATATATATATAAATCTTTGCAGATTTCTGTTTTACACTTCCGCTGGCCAACGGCTCAATAAAAATCAAGTGAGCAGCTTTAATCTAGGCAGCAGCAGCGGAGCGCCCGGCAGCGCGAACAAAGTTTCGTCAAATAGCCCAGCGTTTTGGCTAAAACGCATTTCACGCAACGTTGACGGTGTGGTGGGCGTAGAAGTGGGCGGAAATTTTAGCGCAGCGTTGTCATCATTCGAACTAGAAGGGGCACCAGCCACCGTTAACCGTGCGAAACGCAGGTAGAATCATCTATGCAATAAACAATTTCTTGTTGAGTTTATAACTTTTTATAATAATCTACTTTAGCATTACTTCATCATCTCAAACTAGTTCATCCTCATCGAAACTGTCTCGCGACGTTTCACTCAATATGGATCTCTTGGACATCGTCGGTGCCGACAAAGGCGCCAAAACGCGAACTAAACGACAAAGCCCCGGTAGGGAAACGCTCTGTAAAACCACCTCACAATTTATTACACCTCAAGCGGCCCTCAATAATAAAGGTGGGTTTCCAAACAGTGCGGCAATTTCAACAATTTCATTGTAGCAATAATTTGGTAACATTTTAGGGAACTGGATGTTTGTGGTAAATGAGCCAAGCACAGCGCGTCAAATGGTGAAGGCAGAATTATGCGCGTAAGTTTACTATATAATAAAGCCATAATAAATACTATAAACACAAGGTGACACATATGCATGTGGCAGAGTGAAATGAATGAAATATTGAACGAATGGTTTGTGTATGTACTAAAAGCTTTAAAGCGGAAATGGGAACAGTTTTTAAACTGAAAATATTTGTGTCCAGAAACATTTGCAGGTAAATTCAATTTCATATACATACGTACTATATGCATATGGAGAAGGCAATGCAAAGGTATGTGTGCATGCATATATGTATGTGTATATATGTAAAGATGCTCACCCTGCAGAAAATCAAACTTGTTCAGAACTTGCGGCGATCTAGCTGAAAATGGGACAGTAATTGTGAACTTTAACAATAACATTTTCACACCGCACTTATTGCGGTATGAATTTTTGACTTTTCTCTTCTCTTCACGATAACGCAGAACGGGAATTGAACCCTTGGTCCATTTTGAGAAATCTTTTTTTTTTTTAAGAAAAAATTTCAACTTTCGGTTTTTTACAGTGTATTTTTTTTACACATTAAACGGAAAAAAATAAAGGCAGTAAGTCCAGCTGTTATTGAGGAAAAGAAACAAAGCAGAAAAGGATCCCCACAAAGAGTTGATTACAAAGAAAGATCTTAAGCAGGGATTGCACGATTTGTACATTTGTAAATATTTAGTTATTTTGACAGTTATAGAACGTGGTTATTTGGGATTTTTTTTTTATTGAGCTGAACTCATTCTCGATAAAAATGTCTAGACAACACCACTCTATGGTCGGTCAAACCAGATAATCGTTAATTTATGACATAAAAAATAAAGCTTAACTTACTTAGATCAAACGGAATACCTTCATAGCCAAATGAATCGATACTTTAGAGCCGATATTTTTCAGGTATCGATACTACTTCCAAGTAAAAGTATCGCTACCTGCATGGTATCGTTTCATCCATAACCATGATTCCTTAATAAAAGGTTTGATGATCTGGCAATTGTCTTGTTCAAACAGCTCAGCTCCCTTAGCATATATGTATGTTGTAAATATTGTTGCTCTTTCCAAATTTTCCCAAAAAATAGTAGTTTACGGGTAAAATAGTATTCGTTTCTGTACAATATATTTATTTATACAATATGTCTATAAAAAACACTTAACCCTTTCGACCCGTATGATACATATGTGTACCACTTAAAGTTTAAACATCCTTAAGAGATAAACAATTAATGTGCATGGGTTGAGAAATGTACCTTATCGTCTGTAAGCTTTCCTGAATGCATTCTGTAAGGTTCCGTTAAATTTTTGTTGATTTTTATGTTCACAACACTGTGAAGTTGTGACTTGCGTCGTAGCCAAAATGAAGTGCGTGCAGGATATAAAAAAATATTGTTTTTATGCTAATTTTAGTAAATGGTTTCTAAATGTACACTTCGTCGGGTATGGTGGTACACATATGTACCAGTAGTCCGTTGAGTAGTAAATAATGTGATTCCCCGTTTGGATAGAAAACTGTTAGTTTTTCCAGAAAATGGAACCTGAATATACATATTCGATAAATTCTGAAAGAAGAAGCTGATAGTGCTAGCGACTTAGAAGACTTTTCTGGAGGAAGCTCTGAAGAATTTGTACCAACTGGTGTCTCTAGTTCCAGCGATAACAAAGATTTAGCACATGACATAGTGAATGGTAGCTGCCGAGGGAGTACTGGTCTGTAATTAACCAGCTAGCAATGACTTTATTCCCAAAAACCTGTCGCGTCGATTATCAATGCCATTTGGAGTACTCCTGACGAGAATTTCCGACATAAACAAACTCTTTATAATCCTCATAACTGCATAATAGCAGACCACATACCTCGCTATTCGTCTGTTAATGACTATTTCCACGATTACTTATATATATGTATATATATATAGCCCAATGTTCAAACGAGCGTATTTAAATTTACTTAAGTTCGCTGTAAGGCATTCTTTGTTCGCTTCTCTGGAATCTGTTAAGCCATGCATTCTGCATTCGCTTCTTTATAAGGCGTTATCAATTCGTTTTTCTTCAATCCGTATTGTAAGGTGTTCTCCCTTAGCTCGAAGGTAATGCTGCCGGTAAGGCCTTACGGCCAATGACATGCCCATGTTAAAATAATGCCTTCTTGAAGCGAAAATGTTAATTCAATTCCATTTTAATTTCTGTGGTAATCCCTTTTTTTTTGCTGGGATTGCAAGCAGTCTTCTTATTTTACTCGTTCGCCCTTTACTGCTCATTTAAAAATGTATTAATATTTTTTGTTTGACTCTTTACTTTCTTTTCTCATTCGCTTTTACAGCTCAAACACCTGCTCGAATCTGTGCCAATTGCCCAATGGTTATAACTCCAGATGCGAACAGAAATACGTGCAGAAGCGGCTGATTGCACTGCAGGCCAACGGTCAGAATCTATACACAGACTCATTTTGGTTTCCGAGCTGTTGCGTTTGCACGATAGCTGCAAATTGAGCGAAGTGTGTGCGATGGATGCAGCGGGTGGTTAGCGGTTGACTGGCGGCGGAACGGTAAAAAGCAATGTATTTAGAGCGTAAATTTATTTGCATTCATTTAACTCATTGTTATCGAGACTTTAAAGTAATTTATATTGAATTTATAAGCAAAACTAGATGTATGAAAAATCCACACTACATATGTATGTAGCATAAAATGTTTTTTATTAAAAAAATTTGCAAAATCTTATCGCAAAGCGAAGTAATGGTTTTTATATGGGGGAAAATGGACAAGACCGTAAATTATAAAATTATTAAAAACCAACGTTCTTGGTTGACGCTTTTCAGGAAATGTACAAATATACTTGTAAAAATTTACGTTCTACTTCTATACTTTCCAGCAAGTCTTAACCAAGGAATGAAACCGATTCAAAATAACGTTCCGGTTTGGGTTTCGGTTTTGCCAAGTGTTTCGGTTTTGGTTTCGTTCTTCAAAATTTATTTCGGTTTTGGTTTCGGTTTCGTTCCGGTTTCGGTTTTTCACAGAAATTTTGTTGATATTATTTAAATCACAATGTCTTAAAGGTTGAGGAAAGAAAATTGAAAATTACAGTTCACTGATAATATCAACACTAGGTTCTTTCCCTAACAATCCGGACCGGATTTGGTAATTAGAGAATAAGAGAAACATTTTTTTTTTTCAAAAATGGAACAAAGTCCAGAAGTACGGGAACGCAAAAACCACACTTCGTGCCCACAAGTCGAGAAACAGCTGATTCACGTTGTTCTTGTTTTTTCACTTATACCATGTTCTGACCGACATCGGAAACATGTTTTCGTTGCTAAAACTGGTTTTCGACCTAAAACTTGTGTTTTCATCCATGTAAAATCTGTCAAACGAAAACCAGTTTTCGCTGAAAACTACACAGCAACAACGTCATCAACAGATTCACTTAAATGTTTCCTTTTTGCTGTAAAACTAAAGGTGTATGAAAACTAAAATATAATTGTTATTTTCGTCATATATTTACTACATAATAATGAAACCCCTTCATTTCTGTGTCCTTTACAACTATACACGTGAAAATGAAAATCGAAATGACTTCTTCCAAATAACCGATGCCAGATCGGAGTTTTTATTTATTAGGCACCATTTTAGTAGCTTTTTGCGAAAAGTTACCTTGACATACTTATTTACTACTTAACAAGAATTTTAGCAAAATATTGCTGATTTTGGTTAAATAAATCATTTATTTCAAAGAAATTTTGATTTATTATTTTTGTAAATTTCTGGAAACCGATTGAAACCTGTGATTGAAATGGTTTCGGTATCGTTCCTTTTCAGGTTAAGATAACGGTTACGGTTTCGGTTTCGGTTTCGAAAAACGAAACGGTTTTAAACGGTTACGGTTTCGGTTTGGGTTTCGGTTTCATTCCTTGGTCTTAACTGCAGTTTATGCCTATTGGAAAAAGCAGATTACAACTCGAAGGGAGTAATTGCATATTAAGTTCAAGCAGACGGAAGGAAGAAAGCAGAAATTCATCGGCCCTATCGCGAATCTCACATGAAAAAATATTCCCAAAAATTATAAAGCAAAACAATGCAATATTTGGATAATGTTATACTGCGGTATTCAAACTGTTTGTATATGCAGAGTTGCGACACATTCCAACCGTATAAGTACATTTCATATTTGAAATATTCAATATACCAATAAACAATTTTTCTGAATTTTCCATTTTTAAAACACCAATGGTAACCAATAACAAACAAGGCATCAACTTCGTTTCTGATGCGCTTCGGATCAGTGTTGCCGCGATCATTTTTAGTGGTAGCCAAATTCCTAAAGGGCTGAAAAAGAGCTAAAAAACTCTCCTTGTGGCTAAAAATGGTAGCTACAATTTTTTTCTTACATATAAATATAAAAGTATACACGAAAACATTTTCAATAAGTAATTGTATAGAAAAACAATGAACTCTGGACAAAAGCTAATATTTTATCCAACCAAAAACCTTTTCGTATAAAAGGGCAAATATGCGACACCAGCTTGCTGGCTCCATCAAGCATATGGGCAAATCTAAAAAATAGGTACACCTAAAAAAAAATCTTTAATTTTTAAATTTGTGAGCACACCTATGTTTTATATATCATTTTATTCGTATTCTCTTAATAAATCGATTAATATAAGTGTAGTTCATGTTAATCAAGTGCTTCAAAAGTTAGACGAGGAATAAACATGAAATAGAAAACTAAAGAATAAGCTGGGTTCAAATTACGTTGTTGAAGTTGTAAATTTTGAGCAGAGATTTTGAAAGTTGAACTCACTTAATTGGGACGTTCTAAATTCAATAGCATCCCCCGTTTTACCAGATTGGCTCCGGTTTTCGAGATAACGGTATTTGAAAATTTGATCAAATTTTAACTATTTTATAAATAACTGCCTCAGTTTTAAAGTTATTTTACTAAAATTTTGCACATATCAGTTTTTTAATATTACCTTAATTATTCCTTAAAATTATCGAAATGGGTGCACTTTAACGTATACCTCCAATACAACTGATTAATCAGATATGCGTTTTTGCGCTATAACTCTAACTTCATATCTGAATAATGAATTGTATGCGTGCTATATGTTAAATTGAACCTATACTAAATTTTAACCTGTTTAATTGGAGGAGTTATAACGCAAAACAACGTCTCATATCAATCAGTTGTATGGGAGCTATATGTTTTAGTGAACCGATTTCGATGATTTTATGGAATAGTTAAGGTAATATTAAAAAAAACGGTTATGTGCAAATTTTTAGTAAAATATCTTCAAAACCCAGGGACTTTTTTATAAAATAGTTAAAATTTAAGGAAAGTTTCAAGTACCGCTATCTCGAAAAGTGGAGCCAATAGGGTAAAACTTAGGACGCCATTGATTTCAGAAGGCTCCAATTAAGTAAGAGCAAATATCAGAACATTTGTCCAAAAAAAGTTGCTTTGATACCACTCTCGAAATATTCTGACTAAAAGAAGTAGCATCATTAAGAGTAGTAAATCAGGGTTTTTACACACTTGTAGAGATAAATTTTTTGAAGCATTTTACAGGTATATGTAATGTTAAAAGGACTAGTAGTTACAAAAAGATTTAGATCATTTTGACGTAGTTTCCTAATGTGCCTTCAATTAAGATGTTTTTGGAATAGACATTACGCTCATGATCGCAGAATATTTTATCTTTAAAAGTTGGTTTATTCTGAAAGCACAGCTCTTGCTCAGGAATGAAATTATTCGTAATTGTTTGTAGTATACAATACATACTTAAAAAGTTCTTAAACTTAAATGCTTCAAAAGCTATTCGCGATAAATCGAAAATTTTGAAAATTGTGAAATCTGGAATTACAGACTTTGAGTTACTTGCCATTTCGTTATTTTTTAATGCACACTTTTCTTACCTAATACATATGAAGTCTACACATAAGTGCTAAATGCCCATTAAATTTCAATTTAGGATATGGTAGGCTTTAAAAGTTATGACATAATTAATTTGCCCCTCTTAAATGTTACATAAAAAATTCACTTGTTTTCATTATTATTATTTTTTTAAACACCTATAATTCAAAAGTTATGCGGCAAATTGATCCAAATTTTTTTGAGGCTTCAAGTATACGTCAATAAATTATATCCAAAAGCAACCAGCTTGATATAGTTTCCAACAGTGAAAATAAAGCTAAAAAACACCAAGGTTACCTGTTTTTTAGATTTGCCCATATAATCATAATTTGCCACTTAATATTATTACTGTAAACGAGTAATTCTTGTATTTATATATTATGGTGATCCAAAACAACTAACCTAGCGAATTTATAGCCTTAAGATTACCTATTTACTGAGAAGGAAATTCTCTCATTTGGAAAAATGTTTATTTCAATTTTAGGATGTGTCGGTGGGCATTTGAAATCTTCTATGTAAACAACATGTAAAAAAATTTGTTTTCATTAAAAATGTTATAACTTTTGAACCGTTAAAAGAAGTTATAAAAGGGATAAAAGGTTTTTTAGGCATATTTTTGTAGGGCATTAAATTCTCTAAAATATTACCCTAAAGTGGGTTGTCTTAAAGACGATTAAGAGCATTAAATGTGTTAATGAAATTGCTGAACGAGGATACAAAATTATAATAAAACTTTGACGAAAGACGATGAACAAAAGCAATTTCTTTTGCAAGTTATAAAATAACAATTAAATAATTTATAAATAAATAGTCAAAACTTGTTAATATGGTGTGGCCTTACAATTATACAATGCAGTGTACTATTAACTTGTTGGACTTTTGTTTAGAGAAACTTTGAATTTTTAACTTATTCGATATTTATGTGTTAAAATAAATATAAAAAAAATGTGTGTTTTAAATATCGAGAATTTGTCCTCCTGGAATGTTAAAAACTTCTGGGCACCTTAGTCTAAAGTAAAGCATTTTATTATCCGTTTTAAATTGGTTTGCAGCCAAGAAACATACATACGTCATAAACCGATAACAGAAATGCTTAACTTTAGACAAAGCTTTATTTTTAGTCCAACCTTCAAAAATACAAAGTGAGCTTTAAAGTTAAAGGTTGCTTCAGAAAACGGACCTTAGTAGTTCTACCGCATTTCTAGCATTTTTTATGCATACATATAGCCATCACGCTACTACCGCATACCGCCCATCATAGTTCAAGAATATTTATTTATTTTTTTACTTGTATGTACCTCACAATTTCTTCAGTCGCTTTTCAAGATTTTTCTCTTCGTTTCATCCCTTTGTGTCGCATTTCCTGCAGCAAAGAAAAAATCACAGCAATACGTCAGCAGCCAAACGACCAGCCGCTTCTTTGCAATATGACAACTTCGCAACAAATTATGGCTTGGTCAGGTGTAGTGTTGTTAATGATTTTTTTTTCGTTGGAAAGAGCAGTTGTTGTTGTTGGTAGCAAAAGCTGCTTGTTACGGTAACTGACTATAACGAGATGAAAATCTAAAAAAAACAGTAAATGGAAAATAAAATTACAGCAAAATATGTATTTCATTAAAAAAATAAGAAAATGAATTAAAATACTTTGCACATCAAATATGAGTTTCGAATGAAACTAAGAAGGATAGCAAGTACATAGGTACTATTGTAGCTCTCCAGTGAAAGAAACACAAGTAATGTCCACTTGAGAAAACATCCTTAGGGAAATAGCGTTGGCTGAAGCCAATCACACAAACTATTAAACTGAATCTTTGTGTACGTTCTTGTTTTG